GCCGACCACTGAGGCGTGCACCGCTGGGCAGCAGTCACCCGAGCACGCCCATGCCTCTGCAGAGCGAGCGTTCATGGGGCCAGGCGATGCACGCTGCGAACACCAGACCCTGCTTTCCTCCAAACTCCCCAGAATGCGCAGGGCCTCCTCCCAGCGCCGGCACTGCCGGTGTTTCGGTACCTCTCTCCCGCCGACGCCACGGTCACCCTCCCTTGAGGTGGCGATTTCACAGTATCACCCACCAAACCCCCTCACTGCAACCAAGCTCCCCCGAAGGGACAGGGAAAAAGCTCCAGTTTCCAGACATTTAGCACGTGCTTCCACACCAGATTTCTCTTCCCAAGTAAGAGCTGCATTAGCCTTCATACTGCTAATTGTTGTATCTGTCAGCCTGTAAAAGGTGTAAGAATATTCATAGAAATAAAAAAATCATGCCAGCTGCAGTAATGAAAAGCTTCATGCTTTTGTCGCTGCCCAGAGAAGGCTGTTCTCTCCAGTGCTGATTTTCACAGGTCTTTTACATTTTCTCTTTCTCAAAACTTCCAAACAGAAACACAGTCCCCTCTCATCTGCCACACTTCTCTAAATTAACTATCTAAAACAACATTAAACAAAATGTAAAGATACCTTAACTGCTTACAGCATGATGTTACACCAAACGCATTTCTTTTAGTGCTGTTATTTTCACCAAAAGCCTCCACATACCAAGAGAACACGAGGCAAGCAGAGTGACGACCGGTCAACCTACCCACTGGATCCACACAGGAACGGCTGGCAGAACACAGAGCAGTTTGGCAAGAGAACGGTAAAATCACATTCCAGGCACACGGAAATGCCCAAAATACCATGTCGGAAATACAACGCGCCAACCTGCTCAGCACCTCTGACCAGCTTTTCAAGGACAAACATACAGGGTCAGAGCAGTCTGAAGTAACTGATAGAGCAACAAGTAACATACAATTATATTATGCTTTAAGAAGGCAATTACAGAGATAATTTGTTCTTCCCACAGGTAGCTCTAACGTGTGGGGTTTCTCCAGTCCCAGGAAGCAGTCAGAAGGATTGCACAGTCCTCGCATGACGTCTGCCACACGCCTCGGTCCAGGGCCGCTGCTCCTCACGTCCCCACGGCACGCTCTACGCACA